GTCCCATGAGCACCTGAGAGGAATGTATATTCCGCAGCTGTGGGGTGAAGTGTTCTGAAGATGTCAATTAAGTCCATCTGATCTAGTGAGTCATTTAGGATTGCTGTTTCTTTGCTGAGTTTTTGTCTAGCGGATTTATCCAGTGATGTCAGTGGTGTATTAAAGTCCCCTACTATGATTGTATTGTTGTCGATCTCTCCCCTGATATCTTCCAGAAGTTTTCTTATGTATGTGGGTGCTCCTGCATTGGGTGCATATATGTTTACCAGGGTTATATCTTCTTGTTGTATTGATCCCTTTAGTATTATGAAGTGGCCTTCCTTATCTCTGGTTATGGCCTTCACTTTGAGATGTATTTTGTCAGATATAAGTATTGCTACCCCAGCTTTCTTTTCCTTTCCATTTGCGTGAAAGATATTTTTCCATCCCTTCACTTTCAGTCTGTGTGAGTCCTTTCCAATGAGGTGGGTCTCTTGTAGACAGCAGATGTATGGGTCATGTTTTTTTATCCATTCAGCCACTCGGTGTCTTTTATTTGGAGCATTTAGTCCATTTACATTTAAAGTTATTATTGAAAGGTACTTGTTTGTAGCCATTTCTTTTTTGTGTGTGTGTGTGGCTGTTTTCTTTCTGAGCTTGATATTTCTTCTTTTACAACAGTCCCTTTAGCATTTCTTGCATGGCTGGCTTGGTGGTGATAAACTCCCTTAGCCCTTTTTTGTCTGTGAAGCTTCTTATTTCCCCTTCAATTTTGAATGATAGCCTTGCTGGATAGAGTATTCTTGGATTCAGTCCTTTGCTTTGCATCACTTTGTAGATTTCCGTCCATTCTTTTCTGGCCTGATGTGTTTCTGTTGAGAAATCATTTGATAATCTAATGGGAGATCCCTTGTATGTTACTTTCCGCCTCTCTCTTGCAGCCTGTAAGATTCTCTCTTTATCCTGAACATTTGCCATGGTAATTATGATGTGTCTTGGTGTGGGTCTTTTCGGGTTCACCTTGTTTGGGACTCTCTGGGCTTGTGTGACTTTTTTCTTCCCCACCTCAGGGAAGTTTTCTGATATTATTTTTTCGAATAGGTTTTCTAATCCTTGTTCCTCTTTCTGTTGTTCTGGGACCCCTATTATTCGTATGTTGTTTCGCTTCATGTTGTCCCAAAGCTCCCTTAGGCTCTCCTCCTGTCTTTTAATTTTTTTCTCCAATTGAAGTACAGTTTGGGTGTGTTTGCTTCCTTGTCTTCTAATTCACTAATTCGGTCCTCCGCTTCTCCTAGTTTACTGTTGATACTTTCAATGGTGTTTTTTATTGCAGCTATATCGCTCTTCATTTCTTTTTGGGTCTTACATAAGTTATTCATTTTTTCATCTGTTTCTTCTTGCTTCTTGCATAAGTTGTTGATTTTTTTCCTCCATCCGGTTTATGCACTCTAGGACCCTTATTCTGAATTCTTTTTCTGTCATGTTGCATGCCTCTGTATCGCTTAGCTGCTTTTCTGGCGACGCCTCCTTTTCTTTCCTTTGGGGGTTTCTTTGTCTACCCATGTTTGATCTCACCGACATATCTAGATGTTGAGTTGTTTAGTAGCTGCTCCCTGGGTGGCAGTGGCTCCTCAGGCTGTGGTTGCTCCCTGGGCGGTTGCGGTAGCAGCTGCTCCTCAGTTGAGAGAAGCTCCTCTGGTGGGTGCTGTTCACAGCTGTGCTGGCTCTTCTGGCTGGTGGGGGGAGGCTTCACGTACAGCTGCTCCATTTCTCTTTTTTCGATCTCAAGTTCCCTTGCTGGGTTTGGGAAAATCCTTTTTCCAATGCCCTTCCTCCCTGCAATATGCACACTGACTCTCACTTAGAGGTCTTTTTCTTTCATATGCCTCTGACTTTTTCTTTTTTTCACTTCCTCAGTTCTTTCCCTTCTTGCTTCTTCCCTCTTCACAAATCTACAACTTTCCTATTACCTTTTAGTTGGCCTCTTCTTAACTCATTCAGAAATAACCAACTTTAGAATACTCTATTTTCTCCATATATATCAAAATATATCTCCATACCTTATACCTTTTATTACCAAAACCAGATAGTGTTTTAAGTTGAATTAGAATTCTTAATTCTTAGAAACCTTAATTTTCAGTGACAACTAGCATTCTTTAGATTGGCAAATTTATGAATCATTTTATAACTTCTAGAAACAGGTTTTTTCATTGGCAAATACACTCATATTTTCAAGAGACGTAACAAAATATATGAACCCTCTTTTTTAAACCCAGGCATGACAAACATATATTTTATGTTAATAACTCTAAAAGACATCAACCAAATTTAAACCAGCTTTAATATCAAATATTTTCCCCGACCGCATGATACTAAAAAATAAACAAAAAACATTTGGGACAGTTTTATTTATTTTTATGACATACATAAACAGTATTACTCATAATTGTAGAGAAGGCAAGATTTTTCACTTGTCCTTGACAAGTTTTAAGAAAGCTGGAGTGGGAGCTCGGCTGGTGTGGCTCATGGTTGAGCTTTGACCTATGAACCAGGAGGTCACAGTTCGATTCCTGATCAGGGCACATGCATGGGTTTCAGGCTCGATCCCCAGTGGGGAACGTGCACTCTCTCTCTCCCTTCCTCTGTCTAATCAACAAATATGTGTGTGTGTGTGTGTGTGTGTGTGTGTGTACACACATATATACATATACATATATATACTAGAAGCCCAGCACATGAAATCACATAGTCCTGCCCACCCACACAGCCTTGCCTTGCTTGCAGCCCTGCCCACCCGAACATCTTGCCAAGCTCCCAGCCCCGCCCACCTGTGCCAGTGTTTGGTCCTTAGGACCACAGGTTTTTCATAATATAGATAAGCTGGAGTGGGGCCCTAGCCAGTTTGGATCAGAGGATAGAGCGTCAGCCTGCAGACTGAAGGGTTTGATTCCGGTCAAGGGCACATGCCTAGGTTGCAGGCTCAATCCCCAGTAAGGGGGCGTGCAGGAGGAAGCTGATCACAGATACTCTCTCATCATTGATGTTTCTGTCTCTCTCTCCCTTCCTCTTTAAAATCAATAAAAAATTTTATTTAAAAAAAAAAAGAAAGCGACCAGATCCAAGATGGTGGCCAGGAGGAAGCTGATGAAGGAGCTTGAAGAAATCTGCAAATGTGGAATGAAAAACTTCTGTAATGTCCAGGTTGATAAAGCCAATTTATTAACTTGACAAGGGCTTATTGTTCCTGGCAACTGTCCATATGATAAGGGGGCCTTCAGAATGGAAATCAACTTTCCAGCAGAATGCCCATTCAAATCACTGAAGATTACATTTGAAACAAAGATCTATCACCCCAACATTGATGAAAAGGGACAGGTCTGTCTGCCGGTAATTAGTGCTGAAAACTGGAAGCCAGCAACTAAAACCAAGTAATCCAGTCTCTCATAGGACTGGTGAATGACCCCCAGCCTGAGCACCCCGTTCGGGCTGACATAGCTGAAGAATACTCTAAAGACCGTAAAAAATTCTGCAAGAATGCTGAAGAGTTTACAGAGAAATATGCAGAAAAGCGACCTGTGGACTAAAATCTGTCACAATTGATTCCAGCGAGTGTGAGCAGAAACCCCGAGCAGAGCATTCAGACACCCTGCAAAGCAGGACTCTGTGGAAAATTGACACAGGCCACCACCTGGCGTTTGCTTGTGGCAGTTACTAACTTACTACAGTTTTCTTAATCAAAACTGGTCTTAGGTAACCTGTAAAGAAAGGATTAAAAATTTAAGATGTTCTAAAAAGAAGAAAGCTGTAGTGGGGAGAGAGGAGATATCAGGCATGATTGACTTTAGCCACTTGAGTTTTGAAGTGTCATTTTTTCCCCCTCACATTGAGGTGGGGCAGTCTGCTCCTAAAGCCTGCACAAGGTTCTGGGCAACAAAACCACACAAATCTAATCTGAAACTGAAAGTACATCTCTCTCCCACATAAAAAGGCCAGAGCACTGCCTTCTCAGGCACTTCTATCAAAGACGGACCAGGACCAAGGATCTCCAGGAAATCAGGTACCTGATAACTCAGTTCTGTTCTCTGAAGGGGAAGGGTCTCTGAGTGTGAGGACCCCAGGAGGGCCCCTGAGGAGAGACTGGTGTTTGGATGGGACTGGAAGAATATCTGAAGCCAGAGGTGATTGCTATAGTGGCGGTTATTCCAAGAGCCAAAGCCACAAAGTCAGTTCTGTGTAAGAAACATTCTAGGTATGGAGGTGAGGTCAGACCTGGCAAATAGGGAACCATATCGAAGGACAGACATGCTGTCTATCCATCCCTCTTAAATGTAAAACCTTAATCTTAGATTGTGCAATTTATATCCCAGAATCCCAATGCAGTACTGTTGGTCCCTGTGTCTCATGGGCCCTTGTGCAAAAGGCTCTCCTGCTTCCTATGGTTAGTCAAGCCTAGATCTTCAGGTCAGAATAGGAATATACTTATTTCCCCCTTCTCCACACCAACTTCTACCTTTCCTTCAAACCAAGAACCCCCCGAAAGCTTCCATGCATGTTAGCTCCCCTGATAGAAGTAAAGGCTGACAACATTGAGAGATGTTCAGAAGTACTGACTTAAGTTTGAGCCCCAGATTAACAAAACTTTGAGACGATCTTAAAAACACACACAACCGACACATCTGTGAAAGAACTCATAGTACTTTTTTAGGGGGAGTAAAACGTCAGGGCTTGTGAAGGATCCACTAAAATGGGATCTGTTTTTCTCACTGGCCATCTGAGTGACACCCAGCTCTGCCTATGACCAGGATTAACTGTTTCTTTACCAGCTCCCTACTGATTCACTGCTCCCTGTGTGCAGGACCCAGGCAAAAGTCCTGGCTAGCTGTGCAGAAAGCAGAGTATAAGGGACTAGGGCTCCCAGATTTGCAGTAGGGACCGAGTCATCAGCACACTCACAGTGGAACTAATGTTCATACCTCACTTTCATTATCTTATTTTTTTTGCAGTTAGTATTGAACTTGGAGATGACTTCTCTTCTAGCCACAGCAGTTCGCTTTTTGATCCTAACTCAATGGCTAACACAACAGGTAATATATATCACCCCCTCCACCCAGATCCTGCTGACTGGCTTTGCCCTCACATTTTTAAAAGTATAGAGTTCCCACAGTTGATTCTGAGGCTAAAGCCATTTAGAGAGCATGAGTCTGAAAAGAATAGTTTAAATATTTGGAAACAAAACAGAGTAACAGCCTAGTTTTTTCTTTTTACACTACTTATGGTATAATAAGATTATCTTCATGTGTGTACCATACATGAGTGCTATGACAGGAACATGTCAAATTTCATGCTAAGCAAGAAGTCCAGACTGTGGGCTCTGGGCAGCATCCAGTACTTGCAAATGGGTCAAAGAACATTACCTCTTCTCTACAGGTGACCGGCCGGGTACAACGAGCTGATTCATGTTGGCTAGACATGGCTGAAAATGCATTTGATGATCAGTATGTGGGCTGCACTAAAGAAATGGAGGCAAAAGCACCCCAGCTGTTAAGAGAAGAACTTAAAGTGAATAGAAACTTAAGAGCAGAATGGGAAAAGGCAACGAAAGAATGGGAGAAAAGGAAGAACAAAATAGACTCTTCAAAACGACTCAGTGATTCCCATGGAATAGCTCTAGTGGCCTATACTGGAGATATTGCAATAGAATTTAACAAGGCTGTAAGAAACTTCCGTCAAAATACAAATAAGTTTCAGTTCAAAGCCTTCCATTATTATTTGACAAGAGCTCTTCAGCTTCTCACGACACCACAGGAGTGTTATACAGTTTATAGAGGCTATAAGACAAAGTGTAATTACATTGGAAAAGGAAATGTACGTTTTGGCCAATTTGCCTCATCATCTCTCTCTAAAGCAGAAGCTATAAAATTTACTAACAATGGTAAGGGAACACTGCTTACCATCAGAACCTGCTTGGGTGTTAAAATTGAAATGTTCTCTTACTATCCATCACAAAAGGAAGTGCTAATTCCAGGCTATGAAGAGTATCAACAAGTCAACCAAACTAAAAATGGCGTTTCACTTATGAATCCCAAAAGACCTAAGAGTAACTACAATTGCTTCTATATCAACAGCTCAGGTGAGTCTGGGACTGTGTTCCAGGTGGGAGTGGTGGGGACATCCTGAAATAGAAGAGGGAGTTCTCTGCTACCAGAAGCCACCAGGACAGAGCACAATAGGGCCTTCAACCAATTGCTGATGAGTATTAGGTTCCTAAAAATACAGGGCTGATATCCTGGAATAGAGAGCAGCTCAGGCAGTTCCTCGTCCGGCCATGGTCTTAACTTCCCTGCTGTGCAAAACAGTCAGAAAGATCTGCTGGGCACCAGGAAACATGGGTTTTGGAAACTAATATGTCAGGGGGTATAGGAAAGGGTTAGGGGAGTTGGGAGACCTGTTCTCAGGGCAGAACAATACAGCCACTGCAATAATCCTGCCAGGAGATGAGGGTGCCTGAACTGAGCAGGGGGCTGTGGTGATCAAGGGAAGTTGGGGAACTGGTGTTGTCTATGAGATATCCTAGGAGAAAGGAGGGGGAGTATGGTTAGAAAATAGGATGGTGGGCCTTGAGATTTCCAGCGTGGGTAGTTTACAGGTTGTGAGTTGATTGGAGGACATTTCCATAGCAGTGGTTGGTTACACTGAAGAGCAGGTGAATAGTGTTGGAGCTGAGGAAATCAAAGAACTGAAAGAGTTTGCACCAATGGGCCACATAGTGACCACATGCACAGGATGATACCTAGACTGATGACGTTAGAGATGGTAAAACCATCAGTGAAGGCATATGAGTGAAGACATATCAGTAGTGGCTGGAAGGCTGTTACCTGTCCAGCCCTGTGATGGGAGAGAAAGTGCCACCAAGGGTTGCCTCCACTTTACCCAACCTTTCCCAAGGTGTCCTGGCTCTCAGGTTTCCTTGCATTTACACCTATCATTCCTTCTGGCCTGAAATCTCTGACTTCATGTCATATTTCATCCAATCTAAGACACTATCAATTTAGTAAAGTAATTATCTTTCACTATCTCTCATTATCTTTCACTAGTTCAGATATCACTTCTAATTATAAGCCTTCATGGATACTCTCAGGCAAGATTAAATATTGTACCATGCTCCACACCATAAGTTTGGGGGCAGACAACCTCAATGGTAATCCAGGCACAACAACCATTAGTTCTGTGAATTTGAACAAGTTACCTGAGCAATCTATGTTTCAACTACCTCCTTTGTAAAATGAGGATACAAATAGTAATACTTCAGTAGTGTGTCTGTGAGAATTAAAGAAGTTCTTAACTTATTGCCCGGGACATCGGTATTGCTTAACAAATACTCTTTTTTTGACCCCATGGAGAACCTTGTATGCATCTCAGCCATACATTCTTCAGCTCTATGGTAATAATTTGTTTACAGTCTGGTGATCTCTTTAGTGCCAGAGACTGTCTTCCTGCTCCCTCTGCACCCAGGGCCTGTCGGTAATGCCTGGCTTGAATCAGGGCTCCAGTAGCTGTTGCTGAAGGAAGTTAGGTTTTGTTGAGATGCCAGGGTCCAGCCAGAAGTGGATCTGAGCTGCAGAGGGACTGAGTATCCAGCAAGTTTCAACCAAATTAGTCGTTATGCTCTAAAAGGTTGCTGGAAACAAGAGAAAAGTTTGAGGTAGAAAGGGACTGCAGAGAGTGATTACTGGGGGACTCTGAGCTTTTACCTGTAGAAATTCTGAATTTGGATCAAGCCTAATAAAAACAGGACAACCAGGAAAACAATCCAGCAGAGGAAAGGTGCTGCCCTCCCATCTCGGGCGCAGTGCTTGATGTTCATTCAGATTCAGGCAGACTGAGCTGAGAACCCCAGGAGAGGAGGCCAGATCCCACCCAAAGACTGAACTCTTATTAACACTAGACTAGAGTATATATGTTGCTGCAAAAGATGTATGTTCATGAGGTCCCGATCCAGAAACGTATTCCTAAGTGGACAAAGACAAACATGGAGCCGAAACCGGTTTGGCTCAAAGGGTAGAGCGTCAGCCTGCGGACTGAGGGGTCCCAGGTTCGATTCTGGTCAAGGGCATGTACCTGGGTTGCGGGCACATCCCCAGTGGGAGATGTGCAGGAGGCAGCTGATCGATGTTTCTCTCCCATCGATGATTCTGACTATCTATCGCTCTCCCTTCCTCTCTGTGAAAAATCAATAAAATATATTTAAAAAAATAAAAAAGACAAACATGGAGGGGCTCCCACAGTGACCAGGGATCTGCAGGTCTCATGTGGGGAAAGCCTTTCTTACTGAGGCACATGTGGCTGGGAGCACAGGGGCCTGAGAAGTGGGGATGGGAGGGTGTGAGGAGCCCATAGCCCTGAGAACTCAGTCCACTCAACGACCTTAAATTCAGAGACCCAAAAGGATGTGTTCTCACAGTCCACTCCCTTTCTGGTATTCCTGGGTATTTCAGGAGCCCCTGAAAGGCAAAAGGAGAGTCTAATTGCTGGCTAAGTAAAAGAAACCCCTAGGGCTCACACTGGTGGTGTTTTGACCCTGGGGGGAAGCTTGAAAAGTCTGGGAGACCCATGTCTTAAGAAACACCATAGAGAAACCAAACCTTTCCTTCTCTTCCTCCCATTGCAGGAATGAAAGAAAGTTCTGCATTCATACTGCTGCTGCCTGGCCTCTTGGTTCTGAGGCTCCTCCCTGCTGAGCTGTAACCTTGCCTTGCCTGGTGCCTGGGTCTGCAAGGTGTGGGTGACCAATTCCAGCATGTCATAATTTCAAGAGTTTCATCAAAAGGTTGATGAGACTTGGGGACTCAACAGGGTTGAGTCACACATGTAGTCACCTGTTGGGAATGGCTGAAGGCATTTCCCCAAACCTGAAAGGATACATTAAATTGATTGTTGCTGCCAGACAGTTAAAGGGCATCTTAATCTACATGTTATTGCCTCCTACTGGCCAAACACCTGAACAGCTGTAGGGTAATTCCCCCATTCTGACAATGGACTCTGTACTGAACCCTGACCCTTTGAAGTGTATATCTCTGCCTCGCCTCAGGACAAATTGTGTTAATAAAAAGCATGGGGTCCTGGGGACGGGGAGAACCTAAGGCCTTAGACTTAAGACCTTAGATCTTAGCTCCTTTAGCTCAGCTCCTCTGACCCCCAATGCCTTTCAAAATTATATTTCGTCTCCGGACTCTTTTACAGTCTCTGGATTCCTATGTCATCTACGCATAGTCCCTTCTCCAGATTCCTGAACCCTTCTTGATGCTGGGACAAGAACCCCGGCAGCATGGGGTATTGGGAAGGGAGGGACGCAGGGTCTGTGTGTGGCTTATGTTAGTGCTCACATCCCCCAAGACATCTAAGGGATCTTCTGGGTCTGACCACAAAAGTATGCTTCCTGTCTCCAAATGCACTTACTGCCTGAGATAAGTCCCTAGTCTCTGGACACTTTGCTGTGATTAAAAAGCAATGCTTTTACATACTGTCAGCAGTAACAGTCTTTAAAATGCAATTTAATCTTGATGAATGTTATAAACTAAAGCAATAAACCACTGATAACCACACCTTGCTTCTCTGTGACTAGATTACACTACTAGTTGTATTCTTTGCCCAGGAAATTCTCCCAGGGCATTAGATGTGATGCTGGCATTTTCACAGTTGAGAAGTTTCATGTCTTATACTTCTCACAAATATCCTTGAAGCCCTGATTGATTGAGCCAGAAATACCAGAGCTGTGTTAGATAAATCCTCCCTGCACCACCCCACCAGAAACCCAAGCAGTCACCAAACCTTGTCAACTTACTTTAACAATAGCTCTCTATTGATTGGGGAAGTATTTCTTAAGACAAAAAAAAGCATAAGCTAATAAAGAAATTTTTTGACATAACAATAACAATATAACTCTAATGTATTGGGTACTTACTATGTATTAGGCACTCATTGTTCTACATTGTTCTAAGCACTTTATATGTTTAGTCATTTAGCCCTCATAATAACCCTATAAGGTAAGTTCTATTTTTCTCCAATTTAACAATTGAGGCACTGAGGTTATGTAATCCACTGTCAAAGAATAAAACAAAGGTAAGGAACAAGGGAAGGGAATAGACTAGGGAGAGGAAGGGGGTGAAGTGTTAGGAGGGGTTATTCTAATTAAGCAGTGAAAACTAATACTCCTGATAGGATAGAGTCCATAGGTCTGCACATAATTGGCTACAATAAATCCTAAATTCTTCGCAGTTAAAATCTGGCATACAGTCCTAGCTGGTTTGGCTCAATAGATAGAGCGTCAGCCTGCGGACTGAAGAGTCCCAGGTTTGATTCCAGTCTAAGGCACATGCCTGGATTGCGGGCTCAATCCCTAGTTGGAGGTGTGCTGGGGGGCAGTCAACCAATAATTCTCTCTCATCATTGATGTTTCTATCTCTCTCACCCTCTCCCTTCCTCTCTCTGAAATCAATAAAAATATATATTTTTAAAATCCGGCATACAGACCTGGCCAGTGTTGCCCAGTGGCTTGGGCGTTCTCCTGTGCATGGAAAGGTTGCCAATTTGATTCCCCTTCGGGACACATGACCAGGTTTCGATGTGGGTCCCCAGGAGGGGGCTTGCAGGAGGCTACTGATCAATGTTTCTCTCTCTCTCCCTAAATTAAAAAAAAAAGAAAACCTGGCATACAGGGATCATTAAAAGTTCATGATCAGCTTCAGCAGAAAGAACCACTTTGATGAAATAAAGCATCCATTTTATGTCTGTTGATCTCCTCGTTGAAAAAGGCACATTGTTGCAAAAACACCTGGGGAATAAATAAAGCAGAACACTATCTGATAAATGAAGAACACAGGCAATATTAGAAGGATATAACTTCCTTCTTTTCCCTTCCTCCCCCAGTTCCAAATCACAAACAGCAGCTAATTACAAAACCTCATCTGTTCTAGCCAACCCCACTCTGGCCCTGACGACTTCTGTTACACTTGTTAAGAGTAATTCTAAAACTGAAAGGGACCATAGGAAATGCACATTCATACCCAGAATGCTTTCTTCCTCCTGAGCATGAGGATTCTCAGAGACCCATGGAGATCAAGGGTCCACAATTTAGGATTCTGGCAAGACTTTCAGTCAAACAAAACCAACATCCAGAGGACATTCCACCAGGGTGAGGGTATGAGTTGCTGGAACAGAATCAGTAGTTGGTCCACACCAGGAAGCTGGGAAGTGAAGGCCCTTCCTTCCTTCCTTCCTTTCTTCCTTCCTTCCTTCCTTCCTTCCTTCCTTCCTTCCTTCCTTCCTTCCTTCCTTCCTTCCTTCCTTCCGTCTTTCCCTCCTTCCTTCCTTCCTTCCTTGGAAGACACACCCTTGGCCTGTGCTGCAGGAGAGGCTGAGCTCATTAAAATACAAGATACTGACTCGGCAGACACCAACACTGTTCTCTTAGAATTCAAACAACTAAGATGTTCCAGATATTTCCTTAGGAAACAGCAACATGAGAAACGTTCCGGAGATTCGCTGCCGGAAGTGTTTGTGTGCAGGAGAAGGTAGAGGGTTTCTCACCCGCAGAGCAGCGTTGTGTAGGGATCGGAGAGGTGGTCAGTGCACCTCATGGTGACTGGTCAAGCGGTCATTCTGGTCATTCTGCTGTTATGGTCGCTGGGCTTTTATTATATAGGATGCTCTCAGAACCTGCCTATATCTTCCTCAGACAACTATCTCTGTACCTGATATATCTCTGTACTTGAGGGCTGTTCCTGAACCACAGAAAGCTGTCTCACTAACCCACACTCAGAAAGCTGGAAGTGCTGGGGGATGAATACTTCCTGGATCAGCCCTGGGCCAATGACTGATGAGACCTGGTGTAAAATACCCCAGCTCCCCCATCTCTCTAGTGAGATGAGTCTGAGGTATGCTTTGTACACTTTTCTAGTTGGTCTTTGACAAGTTGGCTTAGTAACATACCCTTCTCTGGCTGCCTTCCCTTCCCTATGTCACTTCTCTATCTCCCCTGTAGGTGGCCCCTGAATCCCCCAAATAAACTGCCTGCACTGGGATCTTGCAGTAGGTTGGCCATTGAGGGAACCCACACTGAGACACTTTGCCTGGCTGGTACAGAGACTGGTCTGGGATTGAGGGGAAAGTGGATACATGGGTGGAGTGGGGACAATCTGTTTCAGGACTTAGAGACCAGACTGAGAGGTTAGATTCGACCGAGGAGATCATTCATGCACTGGGTGATATTTGAGTATTTTTCTTAAAATTTACTTTTTCACATTTGATGTATTAATTCTTAGGTTTGTACAAATATTGCAGTTCTCATTGAGTTCTGGCTAATAAAA